TGTGCTACTTGAGAAAGAACTTTTTAGGAGCATTGCTGATGAAGTTATGATGCAGCAATTTCAAAAGTTGGCATCTCGAAAAAATTTTCTACGGCCTCAAACAATTCTCACTCCTTTGAACAAATAGAAGGTATGTTTAGTTGCACTTTTCCAATTATGGTAGTTAGTATTATGAATTTTGTTTATTTATTAAATGAATTTTTGCCCCCCATGAAGTCTTCCCTGGCTCCACCACTGGTAGCTGTTGAATATGAGTTTAGTTCGAGTGGCAAGATTTTGACTAAGGCCTGGAGTTGCCTCAACGCTGAATCACTAGAGATAATAGTTTGCAATCAAGATTGGCTCTTGGCGAGGCGTCGAGCACAAGAGTCAGAGTACGATATCGATACGCAAAACTACACGGACGCAACCACGGAAGGAAGTGGAAGTTCGAACGACTCACTTACTTGGCTTTTTTTAATGATTATAAATTAATTTTTAGGTGAGCGATTTATAAGCTCATACGATGGTTTCTTTGTGGTTCCTTACTTCGTCGCTTTTTTTGAACCGTCAGGGCATGATTAAATGTAGTTGATATGCATGTATAATCCAATATTCATTATTATACCAAATGCAACTATATTTCAATGTTTTGAAAATCAGACCAGACATTGACTCGGACGAGAGAATGGGTCAAGGGCTAACCGGTCAAACCGGTCAACCCAGGGGTCAACAACGTGGTCAACTATAAATAAAATAATACTCCCTCCATCCCCCATAAATCTTCTCATTAGCCCTTTTTATTTTTCCGTCATAGATCTTCTTATCACCTTTTTTAATAATTAAAATACCACAACTACGTACTCTCACTTACTTTATTTATTACACTTCACCTACCTCATTTAATACACTCCACTCATTTTCATTAAGGGCATTATGGTAAACTTTTACCTTTTTCAACTCTCCTTAAAAACTACAAAAAATCAAAACGAGAAGATCTTAGTGGGACGGAGGGAGTAATGTTTTGTATTACATTAATAGATATTTTTAGTTAAACATATTTTAACTCATGTTTTATTACTTCTCCGTCTAGTTTTTATTATCATTGTGCATCAAGTATTTCACATTTGCTGTTGTTTATTGTATTATTTTTATTACAATTAAACGTTAATAGTAATTATCTAACAAATATTGAAATAAAAAGGTAATATTCAAATTTTCAAAAAGTAAGTACTAGATAGTGTATTTTTATAAACAATTACATTTTAACACTCTTTATTTATACTGAGTTAAAATCACTTAATTTTTAAAGATAACAATGATTTATTAGGTATAAATTTTAAGTAAAACATTATCAATAATAAACAATGCACAAAAAAATTATAATTTTTAATGCTCATGCTAAGAAGACAAAAATTAGTCGAGGTGAATTTCGTAATGGAATGTACGTGCTTTGCCTATTGGATGCACTTGCATCCGCGTCTCGTGTAGATCCGGTTGTCCTTCACAAACGACTAGGTCATCCATCCATCAAGCCAATCTATGGTGGTGTGTTCAATTTGAATGAAAATGACACATGTTTTACTCCTAATTTGGTTCTTTTCCCATTTTAATATATAAAGGAAAAAAGATTTAATTAGAAGTAAAACATTAGAAATATACCAAAATAGTAGTTCAATGTTTTTAATTTCGAAATAGGAGTTAAAATCCATTTATATTACCAATCATGACTATGTACATTACCAAAAAGTATAGTTAAATGCTCATGTACAGTGTCACATTACCACAGTACAAACTTCTATTTAGAGGATAAAAACATAGAGCTTCTATTTTGGTACTTTTCTATGTTTATTCCTACTTAGGGTAATTTATTATATATAAAATAATAAAAGAAAAAATTAAATTAAAATATTAACTAAATTGATTTTGAAAGATTTAAAAGAGAAATAAGAAAAATGGAGTGAATGTGTGATTATTTTTGGCTTAATTGAACAAGTAAGAAATCAATATGGTCAAAAGCATAATAAGATAAAGAGTAAATTTCATAATTGGTCTTTTATAAGAACGAAATTTTCATATTTAGTCTTCTATTATCAAATATTACCCCTGCAGTCTTTCTTTAATGGGTGCTTTTCCATAAATGGCCAATTTTTGATCTTCTGCCATGTTTCAGATCTGATTGGAATAAGTTCTAATCTGATCTGATCTGAATGTAATTATATTTAGAAACTATTTCTCATTTGATCTAATCTGATCTGATCTAATCCAGTTTTGTGTGATTTGATTCTAATAAGAAAAGGTAAAAAGTAATAAGAATAATTTCAAGAGAACATGACCTTTTAGGGTCCGTTCCGTAGGACTTACTTTTTTTGTTTATTACTTATTCTTATTAAAATCAGATCAGATCAGATCCGATCCAATCAGATCCAATCAGATCAGATCAGACCCAATCAAATCAGATTCAATCAGATCAGATCAGACCCAATCAGATCAGATCAGATCCAATCAGATCAGATCAGACCCAATCAGATCAGATCCATTCAGATCTAATCAGATCAGACCATAACAAAACACAATAAAAATTATTATTAATATTATTATTAATATTATTATTATTATTATTATTATTATTATTATTATTATTATTATTATTATTATTATTATTAGTGTCTAAAATTTTATGTGATTTGTAATTTGTGTTAGACAAATGTGCAAATCTAGAGGGGGGGTGAATAGAGTTGTTTTCAAGAATGTGCGTTTTTCGCGTGTAAAAAAAATATCGCAGGAATAAGTAAAGAGAGTAAGGGAAAGAAGAACACCGGGATTTATACTGGTTCACCACCTCGTGGCTAGTCCAGTCCTCCGAGAGACTCTCTCGAAAGTCCTACTAATCTTCAAGCTTCAACGGGTGCTTGAAAAACCGGTACAACTTGAGAACTTGAATCACACAAGCCTCACTTTCTTACAACAACAAGACTTGAGTCACACAAGTCTTTTGAACAACACTCAAATGAGATTGAGTTTACAACACAAGAATGAAAGCTCACACAATTGAGCAAAGTAGTGTTTGAATGATTAAAGCTCTATGGATGACAACTTC